CCAATGTGTCCAGGGTGAATGACATTGAACTGTTGTAGACAGAAGTGACCAGGTTGGGGCATGATAAGGCTGAGATATTGTCATAGAGACAATCTGTTGCAGAAAAAAAGAAGAGAAGGGTTAAGATAGCGAAGGTAACTGTTTGGTAGTTGGAAGACGAGTAGGAAGCCAAGGAGAGAGCAACGCTAATAAGGTAGTGATCAGAGAGAGGAAAAGGAAAGTTGGTGAGGTTGCAAGGAGTGCATAGGTAGGATAGTACAAGGTTGAGGCAGTTACCATTAGAGTGGGTAGAAGCATGTGTCCATTTTTTTTAGGTCAAAAGTGGTTAGGCTCAGAAGTTTAGAAGTAGCAGGAGTGTTAAGATTAACAGGGATGTTGAAGTCACCGAGAATGATTGTAGGAATTTCAGAAGAGAGAAAGTAAGGTAGGCAGGCAGAAAAGTAATCAAGGAAGCTTGATACCGGTCCAGGAGGCCAATAGATCACAGCAATTGTTAAAGAAACTGGAGAGAAAAGAAAAATACAATGAACTTCAAATAAGGAAAGGGACAGAGAGGGAGGTGAATGAGGGACCTGAAAGGTGCTTTGAGGGGATAGGAGGATTCCAACTCCACCTCCTTTCTGTCCACTAGGCCTGGGAGAGTGAGTCCAGAGGAGACCACCATGAGAGAGGGCAGCAGAAAAGGGAAACTCAGATGTCTGTAATTGCAAGTAGGTTAAAGGAGTTTGTGATAAAAAGGTCAGAGGTGAGTTTGTTACAGAAAGAGTGGGCATTCCAAAGGGCACAGGAAAAGGGGAGGCTGGTTCTAGGAAGAAGAGGAATAGTAAACAGATTGTGTGGATTGCGGCCGCTGTCAGAGGGTAGGGGGTGCGGGTGTGTTGGTCAAAGAAAAAAGATGGTGACCCAGGATTTGGGGAAATGTCTCGAGATGTTAGGAGAAGCAGAAGGGTGAGAGAGGTAATATGGGAGTATGATTTATATGGAGGGACAGATCCGAGTGTCCTGAAGGTTTTTTAGTATGTAGGTTCAGAATTGGCAGGATTTGATGAGTACAGTAATAAGGTGAAGCCAGGAGTGAGGGTGATATATATAAGCTATGGGGTGGAGAAGAGGGGTGAAGGAAAGAGAGTTTGAAGACAGAGGATGCAATTGTGAGAAGGAGGAGTAGGAAGTGCATGTTACAGAGTGGTGAGATGAAGAAGCAGACGGGGTAGGAGATGAAAAAGCTGGGTGGGGAAACGGGCAGCTCAGCCAGGGGTAGCATTGGCAACTATTGTCATGGATAAAGTATTAATCTTCGATTAAGTATTGAGCATTGCACTTCAGCTCTGCATCATCAGAATAACTCTTCTCTATCCCATCACAGGTAAATTTCTGTGAACAATATCCATCTGTACTATCTCCCATGCCATGTATGACTGCTAATTGACACTTCTGTGCTATGTGGTAAATGTCTGCGAGCAATATCCATCTGTACTATCTCCCATGCCATGTATGACTGCTATATGACTCGACTGCAGTGTCGATTTGCATGTCAAAAATATTGTCAAAAATGACAATATATGAAAAAAGTAAAACCAGAACAATATACAAAAATATATCTATATATTCCGGGTAGAAAAATCATGAGCAGGGTCCTTATGTATGATGTATAATACAGATATAGTTACCATGCGCCATTAATATGTGTATATAAGAGGAGGGACAAACCTCAAACTTTAGTGAAAGAAAGGAGCTGGACATTTAAAAAAATAAATTCTGACAGATTAATGTGTCAAAACTATGTCAGTGATGATGCAATATTATATAATAGGCATTCACAGACTGCAGAACACAGTTCACCAAAAGAACAAAACAGAATCGTCCCTTGGAGCTATTCTGCCCTCCTGGAGGGGAGGCATGGGGGGGAGCAGTCCCTGCCTGGAGAACACAGTGATTATTGCTAGTGGCTATGGCTGCTGGCAAAAATCACATGAAAAATCTGACAGGCTTGTTGTACCTAAGTCGTACAACAATCGAATTGGGTACAATCAGCTTGCCCATAGGTGGTTTGAATCTTGGCTGGTCCCAGCTGAACTGGCTGAGATTCAAACCATCTATGGCCAGCTTAAAGAGGAGTTCTAGGCTCCCCACCAAAAATTAAAGTCAGCAGTTCTGTAGCTGCTGACTTTTAATTTAAGGGCACTTACCTGTTCAGGAGTCCAGTGCCGTCATCTCCCAGGCTAGTTTTTCACTAGCCCCAGGGTTCCCAGCGCCAGCATTGCAAGTAAGGGAAACCAGACGTGAAGCCATGCGCGAGTTGTACTGCATCTTGTGATTAGTCCCATAGTCTTCTGGGACCTATGAAGTGTCCCAGAAGACTGCAGGGGATAAGGGAGGCCACATGTCTGGCTCTGTTCGCTGTGACGAAAGTGCCAAATGTCCCGGGGGGGGGGGGGGGTTGAGGGTACAAACAAGCTGGGCTTCCTCTTTTAGGTGGATTTCTGCTATAAGTATTTATTTTGCTAGGTGGCATTAGTAGCCGAATAATTGATTTCACTTGTTCGTACTTATACATCTCCCTGCACAGGATGCACTGGTGTTCTGTATACCTGTGTGCAGAACACCAGTCCCATTCATGTCTGCTGGGAAGCAGTGGATGCATAGACACAGCTCCCAATTTGGCATGCAAACACTGACGTTGTGGGCTTGGGGACATGTACCCACACCCACAGAGATGTCAAATTGAGAGCAGTAGCTGTGTCTGTGCATCTGCTGCATCCCAATAAACATAAATGGTACTACCTGCACATGGGTGCATGGATTGGCTGTGCGTTCTATGTGGGCAATCACTGCCCTCGCATGGGTGTGCACTAAAATCTGTGAAACAGGCAAACAAATAGGTTGAGAAAATTCTCACTTGTATCCAGACAAACAAAATAACTATGTGGCCTCCCTGAGTTCCCAAGACACTGACTATGCCAGGGGCGGACTGACAACTCATGGGGCCCCCGGGCAATAGGGGATCATGGGGCCCCTGTGTCCTTGCTCTAACTCAAAAAAGCCTTTGAAAAAGGTACCAGGGGCATCTCATGGGGCCCTCTACTGACCCCGGGCCCTCGGGCAGTGCCCGAGTTTCCAAATGGTCAGTCCGCCCCTGGACTATGCTACTACCCAGTGGAGATTCTAAGAAGATTCTACACTTGCTGGGATCTTTGATATTGGTGCAGACTTTCTGGGTGGCAGCAAGGTGTAGGCAATGGTAACAAAGCCCCTTAGTAGCAGACAGCAAAGTACTGTAAATGGTGGTGGCCAAGAGGCTTCTCACCACACTTATAGATTTTGGTCAGTTTTCTGGAAGGCAAGTGAAGGTCATGCCACAAACACAGGGCTCCCATCTGAAGTCCGTGTAAACTGGATCTACAGTAGTTTCTCCCTATCCAGAACACTGCTCAGCAACACAGTTCACCATAAAGATTCTCTCTCTGAGCTCTGCCCAATATTTTGCTGCTACTCTCCAGCACCGTAGCTCTGCAGCTCAGTCTACAGCACATGTGTCAAACTGGCGGCACTCCAGTTGTTGCAGACCTACAAGTCCCATGAAGCATTGCAAGGCTGACAGTTACAAGTATGACTCTGTCAGGGCTCCCAGGTGTGACCAGAGGTGTGTGACTGACGCAGGGAAACGCAGACTTCAGATATGTGATAAACAATATAATTTATTAACACTAACAATACAAACATAAACGCAGTGCAATACTAAACATAATACAGTGCAAACAAACCAAACCAACCACCCACAGATAACAGTACATACAAGCAAGCGTCGTCAGGCAGGCCGGTCAATATCAATTGGGCAGGTAGGTACAAGGGGAGCAAGCGGAGATTGGTCAGGGTCACAGGCCAGGTTCAGCAGGTAGCTAGCAGCGTAGTACAGAGGGTCAGGCAGAGGGATGGTCAGGGTCACAAGCCAGGGATCAGAACAGGTAGCAGGCAGCGTAGTACAGAGGGTCAGGCAGAGGGATGGTCAGACAAGCCAGGGATCAGAACAGGTAGCAGAGAATCAGACAGGAACAGAGAGCAGGAACAGGATACAGGGCCCAAGAGAAACACAACACCAAGGCAGAGTCTGCAAGTCTGGCCATCCCTTAAATACCCCAGCATAATCAGTTCCAGGTGTTAGCTGGCTGCAAAGTTGAGTCTCTGATTGCTGGGAGCATCCGCTGGCCAGCCCTGGTACTGCAGATCAAAAGGCAGGTGAGTCCCACCATTGCTGGCTAGTCCATTCCTGACAGTACCCCCCCTCAAGGAGCGGCCTCAGGACGCTCCAAACAGTCCTAGCTGGGCAAAATGTTCCACCGCCCGGGCCTGGTAACTGGCGGGATATCAAAGACTGGCACACCGGGAAGGACTCCGGGCAGCGGCACACCGGGCAGGACTCTGGGCAGCGGCACACCGGGCAGGGGCACACCGGGCAGAGGCACACCGGGCAGAGGCACATCGGGCTGGACTCCGGGCAGAGGCACATCGGGCTGGACTCCGGGCAGAGGCACATCGGGCTGGACTCCGGGCAGAGGCACATCGGGCTGGACTCCGGGCAGAGGCACATCGGGCTGGACTCCGGGCAGAGGCACATCGGGCTGGACTCCGGGCAGAGGCACATCGGGCTGGACTCCGGGCAGAGGCACATCGGGCTGGACTCCGGGCACCGAGTCGTCTGGCAAGACTGCGGGCACCGAGTCGTCTGGCAAGACTGCGGGCACCGAGTCGTCTGGCAAGACTGCGGGCACCGAGTCGTCTGGCGGAACAGCGGGCACCGAGTCGTCTGGCAAGACTGCGGGCACCGAGTCGTCTGGCAAGACTGCGGGCACCGAGTCGTCTGGCAAACAGCGGGCACCGAGTCGTCTGGCAAGACAGCGGGCACCGAGTCGTCTGGCAAGACTGCGGGCACCGAGTCGTCTGGCAAGACTGCGGGCACCGAGTCGTCTGGCAAGACTGCGGGCACCGAGTCGTCTGGCAAGACTGCGGGCACCGAGTCGTCTGGCGGAACAGCGGGCACCGAGTCTTCTGGCAAGACTGCGGGCACCGAGTCGTCTGGCAAGACTGCGGGCACCGAGTCGTCTGGCAAGACTGCGGGCACCGAGTCGTCTGGCAAGACTGCGGGCACCGAGTCGTCTGGCAAGACTGCGGGCACTGGGTCACCAGGCATCAGGTCATTTGGCTTGCCAGCGGGCACCGCGTCATCTGGCAAGGCAGTGGGCACCGGGTCACCAGGTATGACAGCGGGCTCTGAGTCAATTGGCACGACAGCGGGCACTGGATCAGGTACCGGATCATCTGGATCAACAGCGGGCATCGAGTCAACTGGCCTAATAGGATCGTCGGGCTGGATCAGTTCATCATGCTGAGTAGCGGCATCAGGCTGAATGCAGGCATCAGGCGAGTAGAGGCTTCATGCTGAGTAGAGGCATCGGGCTGAAGAGAGGCATCGGCTGAAGAGAGGCATCGGGCTGAAGAGAGGCATCGGGCTGAAGAGAGGCATCGGCTGAAGAGAGGCATCCGGCTGAAGAGAGGCATCCGGCTGAAGAGAGGCATCCGGCTGAAGAGAGGCTTCAGGCTGAGTAGAGGCTTCAGGCTGAGTAGAGGCTTCAGGCTGAGTCACGGAAGGCAGGTTCACCGGTTTGGATACTGGCAGGATGGTATTGGTTGGAAAGAATTTTCGCTTTTTTCTGGTTTTAACTACTGGAGCACTGCAAGTAAACGCAGGTCTGCAAACGAATGGAGCAGCTGGAGACAGAGAAAAACTGGAGGATGGAACAGGAGAGGGAGCAGTTGCTACAGAGGGCTTTTTTACAGGGTTAAAGGCAGGATAGGTGCAGCGAGTGGGAACAGGGTACTGACATGCGGTAGATAGCCAAGTATACTGGGCTGTAACTGGAGGAGCTGGTGGGAATACAGGAGTAGAGTTAGAAGCAGGACTGGGTTTTTGTAAGCTGACTGAGGCTGGGTGCAACAAGTCTGTCCATGTCTGCAGTATGGGTTGAACAAAGCTGAGCTTACACAAAGCCTGTCTGGTCAATGACTGCACTGCGTTTATACAATCTCTTAGTGTCTGTGGTGAACATGTGGAATAACGCTCCAGAAAGTAACCCACATCATCCTCTAAATAATAGGGATCCTCCTGCGCTCATGGGAATAATTGACAAAATACAGCTGCTGTCACTTAGCTGATATCAATAAGTGCAAAATAAAATTAAAAAAATTAGTGAAGCGCTTGTATCACATGAATACAATCATGTATCTCCATATAGTGTAATTATAAATCAAAGTGACCACTATATATAATAAATGTGTGTTGACTCCCTCTAGTGAAAAGAAAAAATAGTGTCAACCAAAATAGCTAAATAACACACATTAGGAAACTAAATATATAGTGCATAAATCAAATATAATGAACAGAATATATATATACGTGAAAACAGAATATTGGCCACATACAATGGTGTCTAAATTATACATAAATGATATATATGCCATAGGTGAACAAGACAATATCAAAGGTGAAAAAAATATTCCATGCATGTGACTGTGCTTTAAGCTGGAACACACACGTGATCTCCACTTCTTCAAGTGCAAGTACTCTCCTTCAAATGGCAGCAATGCCTGCTCACCTCCCTTCCTCGACCCACACAGGGCCTCAAAGCAGTTACCACCTCAGTGGTGTATTCCTCTGGCAGACTCCTTATTCCTCCTCCTCTCTTATGCAACTCATAAAAAGACAAGAAAGCCTTCCATAGTGTAGTAAATTTAATAGGCAAAGTTAAAAATTACAAAGTATTCCACTCACATGCTCCTTTCCATAAAAAAGCGTTTTTTCCCAGCCTGTGGGTAGATATGCATGCACCTGGGGGAATCCAATATGGCCACTGTGTCCGGACATACGTCACCAGGAAGTAGACAAACCGACGCGTAGCGTCACGTGCGTCGTGACTTCATCAGGGTTCCCTGATGAAGTCACGACGCACGTGACGCTACGCGTCGGTTTGTCTACTTCCTGGTGACGTATGTCCGGACACAGTGGCCATATTGGATTCCCCCAGGTGCATGCATATCTACCCACAGGCTGGGAAAACGCTTTTTTATGGAAAGGAGCATGTGAGTGGAATACTTTGTAATTTTTAACTTTGCCTATTAAATTTACTACACTATGGAAGGCTTTCTTGTCTTTTTATGAGTTGCATAAGAGAGGAGGAGGAATAAGGAGTCTGCCAGAGGAATACACCACTGAGGTGGTAACTGCTTTGAGGCCCTGTGTGGGTCGAGGAAGGGAGGTGAGCAGGCATTGCTGCCATTTGAAGGAGAGTACTTGCACTTAGAAGTGGAGATCACGTGTGTGTTCCAGCTTAAAGCACAGTCACATGCATGGAATATTTTTTTCACCTTTGATATTGTCTTGTTCACCTATGGCATATATCATTTATGTATAATTTAGACACCATTGTATGTGGCCAATATTCTGTTTTCACGTATATATATATTCTGTTCATTATATTTGATTTATGCACTATATATTTAGTTTCCTAATGTGTGTTATTTAGCTATTTTGGTTGACACTATTTTTTCTTTTCACTAGAGGGAGTCAACACACATTTATTATATATAGTGGTCACTTTGATTTATAATTACACTATATGGAGATACATGATTGTATTCATGTGATACAAGCGCTTCACTAATTTTTAATTTCACATCATCCTCTAATAACCACACCAGGGACTCTACCTGGTCTGCACTAAATGGTGGCAAAAATTCATCCCTGCATTCGGGGGAACCAGATGAAACCAACTCAGCACAAACCTCAATCAATGGCTGCACCTCAGAGAACTCTGTGCCCTGATCTACTAGAACATGAGCGAGCCGTATACATTCTAGTAGTTCATCCCGGGTATACTCCTTCAGAGTTTGATAAGCATACTCCCTGTCATCAAACACTAGCAGATATAAATACACAACCTCATCCAGATCCATCCTTCCCAGCAACAAGCCAAGATGGCTTCCCTGTGCAGCCACTTCTGGTCAGGAATGGCCTTGGTGTAATGTCGGGGCTCCCAGGTGTGACCAGAGGTGTGTGACTGACGCAGGGAAACGCAGACTTCAGATATGTGATAAACAATATAATTTATTAACACTAACAATACAAACATAAACGCAGTGCAATACTAAACATAATACAGTGCAAACAAACCAAACCAACCACCCACAGATAACAGTACATACAAGCAAGCGTCGTCAGGCAGGCCGGGTCAATATCAATTGGGCAGGTAGGTACAGGGGGAGCAAGCGGAGATTGGTCAGGGTCACAGGCCAGGTTCAGCAGGTAGCTAGCAGCGTAGTACAGAGGGTCAGGCAGAGGGATGGTCAGGGTCACAAGCCAGGGATCAGAACAGGTAGCAGGCAGCGTAGTACAGAGGGTCAGGCAGAGGGATGGTCAGACAAGCCAGGGATCAGAACAGGTAGCAGAGAATCAGACAGGAACAGAGAGCAGGAACAGGATACAGGGCCCAAGAGAAAACACAACACCAAGGCAGAGTCTGCAAGTCTGGCCATTAAATACCCCAGCATAATCAGTTCCAGGTGTTAGCTGGCTGCAAAGTTGAGTCTCTGATTGCTGGGAGCATCCGCTGGCCAGCCCTGGTACTGCAGATCAAAAGGCAGGTGAGTCCCACCATTGCTGGCTAGTCCATTCCTGACAGACTCCCACAGGCAGAGGCATGATGGGACTTGTAGTTCCGCAACAGCTGAACTACAGTTTAGATTGACACTGATGATCTACAACACTGCACACTGTTCCCAACAGAACAGCACAGTCTCTCCTGCAGCAGTCTTCTCTTTAACTCTGTCTCTTTGCTTGAATCTCCCGGCAGTGCAACACCTCTCCCATCTCTACACAGCCTGATCTGCCTTCCCTGCTTCAGGCAATCTAATCTACATTGACTTCTATCCTAAGCATAGGCTCTTCTTTTATCATGCTGCTAGGTGACTTTTTTTAGACTGGTCTAGGCTGAGGCCAATAGAAGTCCTCCTCTCTCTTTTCTCCCAGCCTCTTTGTCCAATCTTCAGACAAGCTGGAGTTGCCACTGTAGATGAAGACATTTGGTCCTGAGCTATGCTCTTACTCCCGACCCCGCAGATGCTAAACACTAGATAGCACAAACTACAGAAAATTTCCCAGCACACTTACCAGCTAGCCTGCAATAAAATCAAATTAGCCCTGTCTAACAGTTCATGTTAAAACAGAGGTTTCAGTTGCACACATTTGCAAATATATTTGTCAAGGCTCCTCTGTATACTGTGGTCCTCACTCTATAGTTTACCCTAGGTTCACACCGAAGCGTTTTTCGCAGCGTTTTGCAGAAACACAGTACAGTCCATTTAATATGATTTCCTATGGGACATGTTCACATCTCCGCGTTTTCACCCGGTGCATTTTTAGGAAAGGGACTTTTTTTAACGCAAAAAGTTGCGTTTTGGTTCTATAGACTTCAAAGGAAACGCTACAGAAAAGCATGTAGTGCGTTTTTGCTGCATTTTTGGCATGTTTTTTATGCATTTTGCATTTTAAATCTGCCTAGCAACATGAAAATTTTGAACAAATTACCCCCCCCCTCAAAACACATCAAAAACGTGGCAAAAACGCAATGCAGAAACGGCTCAAACGCAACCTGCATAGGTGTGAGCCATAAAGATTCTCCAATCTGGAGCATATATAGTAGTGGATAACTGAAGACAGGTTTGCCTGGAGGTAGCCACTAGATATCCCTCTGGGTATCCAAAACAATATAAATATCCAAAACAATATAAAATATTTAATACCCAGTGAATTTAGTGGTAAATCTCATATAATAAATTAATAAGGTGTGAAGTCACTACAGCTTACCTTAAGCAGGCCATATATGGGTCGAATTCCGAAAAATCATTTGTTCTGTAATCTGATGGTGCCATCAATGATTTTGAAAATTGGTAGTTTTTCTCAAATTTTCCAGCATGCCCTGTAAACGAAAAGGGGAGGAACCATGAAAATCAGCCTGTGCCATTGCCCCACTAACAGAGCGAAAATCGGCCAATTATTCTTAGGTCCGATTTTCGAATGAAAAATTGTTCGAAAATTGACCCATGTCAACTTGAGCTGCTTTAAAGTGGTAGCAAGCTTCTAAAAAAAAAAAAAAAAACAGCTTTTTTCACTCCTGCAAGATAATCATACTAGCACATTATGAAAGACAAACCTTCATATGAAGCCCTCCAGTGGTGTGCTGTCATCACTGACAGGGCTTCCATCTCTACAGGGTCTTCCTTCCAGGTTTGCGGGCTCCAGACAGTTGAATGGCGTGGTGACGTCACTTCTGCGCATGCATGAGGGAGTTACTGTTGCAGAACTGAGCTCTGAAGAAACGACATGAATGACGTCACCGGCTGCCAA